GAATAAATACAGAGAAAACAGGAAAGTTAAGTAAATCACAGTAAAAGCATCCCAATATATTTTAACCCTAAATATCCTGAATCGTTTTACAAAAGTAATTTATTCAATAAATAAATGGACAGAGACCACAACCCCCCCAATGTTAGACCTAAAGTTACGCCCTTGTGCATAAAACTAGCAGATATCAGCATATTATCAATGGTTTGAGGCCACTATGTTTGCCTTCTACAGACTAAAAATGCAAGTTGGGCTTATTCATAAATGTAATTTGTCTCTAGGTGTGACAGAGGGATTGGTTGTGTGTGATTTGTCTCTGTGTGGCCCTGTGATGGACTTGCAACCTGTCTAAAGTGTACTGTGCTTCCTGCAGTGACTGCTCAACATGGGCACCAGTGACCCCTGTAACCTGGAAATTAAGAACCAGGTAAAGATAATCTGTGGATGCAATTTCAATTGTTGTCTTTTTATTCCTAAAAGACATCTCACTGCGTCAAAGCTTTATGAACCACTGTGATGCAAAGACCCAAACTCTTTTCCTACAGAACTTATGTATTTTATTTCATTTAAATAACAGATACAACTAAGTAAAGCATCTATAAATTATATTGATGAAATTCTAAGATGATCAGTCTTTTTGTGTCACCTATAAAACGTTTCTAAATATAATGGAGATATCTACAAGAAAATTGAATTGAGTGTTCTACAAGTTATTTTATTCACAAATTTGACATGTCATACATTGAGAACAAGGCAAAGGAAAAACACCAAACACAAGTCAACTTATGCTAAATAAACCAATTTCATGGTCAATAATTTCATAAATATTGTAAATGAATTTCAAATTCAAATGCTTGACATTCTTTGAAGGAATGCTTATTGCCTTTCATAACTGGGATTTCAATGAGAAGGGACTGAGTTAAAGTTGCATTGTTAATGCTGCTATGCAGAATTATGATTTTTTTTTAAACCTGCATTCAGAGAATGTCTTGAGCAACTGTCTTCGCTACCACCACACAAAAATGTAGCTTAATATCTGCAAAACTAATGGAGGCTTGGCCATTTTTGTTTTGGCTAAATTCAATTTGATGTGGTGGTCATCTTGAATTGGGGTAAGTCGAAATGTTAATAACTTGTAAATGCACAGTCAAAGGTTTCAGTCTAAAATATATTTAATGGTTGATGAAATGTGTTGCGAGCAGACATGGTTGATGCCAGCAGCCAAAGTTTCAAGTAAAAATACCGTGTTTTTAGTAGGTGTTGATGATATGCTCAATTACTATCAAACCAATTTTTAGCCTAAAATCTGTTGAATCAACTGACAGATAATCGGCAGTGTGAGATAACTATCATGTCCAAAAAAAAAAAACTGACAACAGATATAATGCAAACAAGAAAAACTATTCAACAAAGCAACAAAGCCTACCTATTGCACCAGCAATAACAATGCAAGRTTTGTACAAATAACCAGTAATGCACTCAAAACAAGCGGCCACTTCTATAGTTAGGATGAACTGTTATTACTGCATGTTTTACAAATTAAAAACAGTTTTATGAAACACAGTAATTTGGAAAAGCCTAAAAAAAATAAAACAAAATAAAATGTGTACGGCACACCCAAAAGACAAAATAAATCCCTCCTCCTGGCTTTATTCTCAAGCGCCGAGCATTTTTTTCACCATGTAGCCGGGCATGTTGTAGAGGAACAGACCTAAGATGGCCAGCAGCAGGAGGGCTGTGACGATCTTGATGGTCAGCCATCTGTACTGGTCGCACACCAGGTGTTTCGCAGCTTTGAGGGGGATGAGGAACCAGAGGAGGGCAACATCTGGACGGCTGTTGAAGAACCAAACAATCAACTTACAAAGAAAGTCCTTATATATTCATACTTTACCATAAAATACACTATAGGGATAGTCGGGTCATTTGTTTTGTCAAATAATTACCAATTTTACCATATCAGTTGTGATGTTCATAGAGCTTGGAGTGTAAAGAAAAGTGCCAACCTTTTCACCCAGACTAAACTAAACAAGCATAACTTTTTCTCTAACCCAAGATACTGGTGTAAATGAACATTAGCAAATATTAATGGTCCAACATGTGACCTTCACAGCCTTCAGCCTTTTTCTACACCAGCTATGTCAAGTTGTTTCCTAACAGTGCTTTCTTTTTATTATTCGCTAATGAAACAATAAGCTGGTGGTGAAGATCTGAAGTCATCCAGGGCACGATCAAACCAAAAAAGGTTAAAAAAATCAAAACAACTGGAATTTTACTCATACTGATCTTCATACGGGATAATGATGTTTTTGCATTTTGCTCTTTTCCCTGAGGAGCAATGTTTTCCTATTTCGCTGGAGTATCTGAAAAACTCAGGAAGATTTTTTCCAAATACAACATCCTGATACATTTTAAACCCAACAGGGCCCTCAGACAAAGGCTGGTCCCTCTCAAGGATAGAACCTCCAAAACCCAAGTGGTATGGCATCTGTAGTTCAGTGCAATGAGGAAGATTCAGATCTCCATCCTGGAGAAAGTGAACCCATGGCTCAACACTGGAGAACAGCTCTTCAGCACAAGACTCCAGCTTTTTACCTGCAGCTCAAAGATAAAGGATGCTCTGCTGAGGTCCAAAATGATTGTATTTTAGACAGAGAAGGCAGGTTTGAGAGGGGAGTTATTTTACTTGGCTTTCAACACCAGCGGGATTTAGTTTTAAATTTTATGTTTTTGTTTTTAAACCGTTTTTAATCACTTTTTTATTATGTTGTGTTTTAATGTACAGCACTTTGTATCAGCTGTGGTTGTTTTAAAGTGCTTTATAAATAAAGTTGGTATGGTATGGTATGGTATGGCATGGGAGTGAAGGAAACCATTAACGTCAAACAAGAAAAGGAGGAGAGCTCAGATTTCAATTTTCAAAAGCTTACAATGTAGCGTTAGGTTTGATTCCTATGCAGTTTCACTAATTGACAACTTCATGCATGTGACCAAAACATCTTGCCCGTGAAAGAGACAAACAGAGAATAATGACTCTCCAATAAAAAGATGAGTATAGCTCCATGTTAATCTAAATGGGAATCTAAGCATGAATGAGGCCTCTCATGCAGGTCTATAAAGATTTTAACTCCAAACACACTGCAGACATTTTGAACTGAGAAAATCGCCTGAATGGGAAATTAAACACCTTCAGCTTCAGATAAGATAAGATAAGATAAGATAAGATAAGATAAGATAAGATAAGATAAGATAAGATAAGATAAGATAAGATAGAACTTTATTGATCCCACAGTGGGGAAATTTGAACATTACAGCAGCTCAAAACAGTGGAGTTGCAGTAACAGGCTGGCTGCCGTGGCGCCAACTTAGAAACAAAGAAAAACTGAAAACCACACAGGGGAAGGGAAGATGAGGAAAAAAGCAAAAACATCATATTTTATCAACACTGTGACACACTGTGGTGTTTATGAAAAATACCTCTGCATAGAGCAAGTTTATTAGCCAGAGGAGTAAGTGAGTTTAAGGGGGCCCGAAGAGTACAGTCCCCAAGACCAGCGCAGCTACAGTTCAGAAATATTGATGGAAACTGTTCATTCTGTGCAGCTTTCAGCCAGCTCTGGAAAAAAGATTAGATGGGTGAGAGGAGGAGGGAATGTAAGGGGCAGAGCCTCTGTCGACACATCCAGCCAGGAAGAATTTAGTCAATAGATCCAAGGCCATTGTCGGGGAGATCCAGATTCTGTAATCAGTTGTTTTGGGAACAGAAGAGACAAGCAAACGACAACAATTTTCCTTCTGCTTTAGAGTTTCTGCTAGTATTCTCAAGGTGGCGATTCCAATCAGGCGAATGTGGACAAATTCCGCCCAGCCGAATCTATCAGATTCCTCCCAGATCAATTCCATCTGGCCAGCAAAGGCCAGGGAACACAGCTGGCCAGTGACCCTCAACAGAACCGCTTGCAGACCGAGTCCAGCTTCGTTCAAGGCAAATTGTCTGAGCTCTGATAAAATACGGCCACCCATCGAATTAGTCAGTCAGCCAGGAGATGAACAGCCACCGACAATGATTTGTAGAACAACAGGAGACCACCCAGCCAATCTGTAGAATCCAGTGATCGGAGTCCAGACATAAATTCAGAACAGAGAAGAACAGAGGTCCCACCTTTAACATGTCCTCCCATGGAAGAAAAAACTTTGTTCCAAAATTTTTATTGAGAGAACAGCTAACCAAATCCATAAAAATAAAAATATCCATGATTTCATATTTTGGATGAAAAATGTAGAGAAGTCTCCAAGCAGCAAAGCAGGGAAAGATAAGGAAGGGCAGGAGAGAAGGAAGAAGCATCTTACTCCTCCGAGAACAGAAACAATAAATAAATTAATTAATTAAAAAAAGTCTAGTTGTTTTGTTTTTTACCCTTTTTTGTTAAATAGCAAATGAGACAGTTTTTCCACGCCTGCGTTATTGGGAAACCTTTTTTATAAACCTGGAAAATAACAGAGACCCTCCTTTGGCTATCCGTTAGCCTTGTTTTGGTAAAAATGTATGTCTCCTTCTCTATATTTCATGCTTTGTGATAGCATAAAGGTATAAGGTTCTGCGTCTTTGCTGACATTCTAGTTCACAGACTTCAATGTCTGGTTGAGCCTGTTTATCTGGACTTTCAATCAGAAGATCTCTATATAGAAGAAATAGAAGAGCTATCAATAGCAACTTCACTTTGCGACAGATCATGAAGAAGTGTAGGGAACAAGAACAAATGTCCTAAATTTAGTCGTATTGTTAAGAAACTACACGCAGATGAACATGCAAGATTGATAATTGATGGAGATCTGACTGAGCCCTTTGAGTATAATAGTGGAGTAAAGCTTGCTTCTATTCTCTTTAGAATGTACACTCCTATACTACTTAACCCTGCTTTTGACAACATCAGTCCTATGCAGCACAGCATTAAGGTCCATTTCAGATATGACTCAGATTTGATTTTCACCTCTTGAAATCTAAAACCAGTGTTCACCAGCCATATTCAGGAAACCCAGTATGCTGGTGATGATGTTGCTATTTTCTGTGAGGACACCATTTTACTTCAAGTACTTTTGTCTGCATGTGACAGTCTGTCACAGAATATAGGTCTTTGGATCAACACCAAGAAAACAGAACCTGTGAGTGTAGGAGAACAACAAGCTGACTTTTACATCAACAGGCAAAAGTTGACAAAGTGGATCATATAAGCTTTGTCAGTAGTGATTACAAGTTAGATAAACAGATTACGTTGCACATCCAAACTGCGTCTTGGGCCATTGGTAGGCTCAGTGACAGAGTTTTCAACTGTAGAGAATTAACAGCAGAACCTAAACTCATCTGTAATTCTGTACAATATGTTTCGTAAACTTTTTTATGAATTGGTCTTAAGGTTAAAATGATACAATATGCAGAGAAGGCTGTACAACGTAAATGAAAATGGCATGAACACATATTTTATGTCTTTCATACTTGGGTTTCTCCAGAGGTTCTGGTTCGTTTCGTCCATCACCAACTGGGCTTTTCTCTGCCTCCTCTCCTGTCAGAAGGTGCAGCTCAGCTTCCACTTTACCCTTTAGAGACATAAAAACACTTTATTTCTCATCACAGAGTGAAGCTTGAATGCAGCTCCCACTGTAAATACCTCAACTGAGAAGAGGATGTAGCCGTACAACCAAAAAACTGTTATTTATCTACTGACACAGAAAGCAAAGTGCAATAATTTAATGGTAAAAGAATCCATGTGTGAGGATCCGTGTCTTGTGTGTATTTTGTGTGCTTTATGTCTGCCTCCATCTTGTGTCCTCTTCGTGCCATTTCACCTCAGTCCTCAGCTTTCTCTACATCATTCATTCACAGGTCTTTACTCATCATTAGCTCAGCTGTTTCCGCTTTCACTCATCCCTACTCTGTATTTAACCAGCCTCTCTTCACCACTTCAGTGTCTGGACATTGTTTGGTTTAGCATCTTGTTCTGCTCTTTGTATTTTTGCCTGGATTCTTAGTTTTCGTAGTTTTGCCACCACGTTGGCTTTTTTGTTTAATAAAAACTTTTTTTTTTATCTTTGAGCCTGCCAGTATTTGGGTCCCATCTCACCACAGACCTGATACCATGTCTGGGTAACATTTGCAAACTATCTCATGAAGCACTAAATCAGGGCTATTCAACTGGTGGCCTATGGGCCACATCCAGCCTGCGAGAAACCAAAGTTTGGCCCGCCAAATGGTTCATTCATCTCTTAAGCCCAAGCCCCAATTTTCTACTTTAAATCCTGTAAGTTCTTTTAGTTAGACATAGACATGTTTGGCATCTACAGAAATGTCAGAATCTTGGCTAGACGCTAGTAAAAATCATTTCTATGAACATCCAAGACAGTTAAAACTGCAAGCAGTTGAAGATAAAACTATGAAAGTGAAAATACAATTGGTTTTAAAATTTTGCAATTCAGAGATGTCAAAATAATATTTGTGGTAAACAGAAGGCATAATGTGTTTTTTTTTTGTTTTTGCTATTGTTTTATTATCACTACTTTTATTACATAGGGTTCTGCATGATAAATTCATGATTAAATGCAGCAAAATAAACTATTTCAAAGGTAACAGATCTTTGTAATTTTTGGTTTATTTACATAATATATTAAATTGTTGAATGTTCTACCCCTTAGCTGTTGGCTTGCAATAACTTTGGCTCCTGGAGCAGTTTAGTTGAATAGCCCTGCACTAGATGGATTTTAATGAAACAATCAGAAAGTAATTATTGAATGAACATCTATGACTGATTAGTGTTTGGAGTCAATCCAATTCAAGATGGCCACCTCAGCTAATCAGCCTTAGCAAAATAACTAAAACTCTGGCCATTTCTTTCTTTTTGGGATAATGCTTGATGTGATAGTAATTAGGAATAAGTGTGAAAACATTTGTAAGGAACATGCATTTGAGGGATGAGCAGTAGAGCTGAGTATGTGGGTTGTGCAAGTGAAAAACTGGCCAAATCCTCATTGTCATTGCCAAAAAAAAGCTTATTTTGCTGTTGCTAGTATTGACATTTGTTTTGAGATTTTGGTGCCCCCAGATGCTGCTAACCAGGTGCCCAGTATAAAATTTATTACCAAAAGGCATTGTCAAAACAAATATATAATTTACCAAACATAAATTACTTTCTTTTTTGCGCTAAGTATAAGTTTTATAATTTTACTCACTGTGAGCTCAAACTCGTCATCCTCATTTCTGGCCACAAAGGGCCACCAGCCTTTGATCCTCTTCTGTTTGAAGATGGAGACCATAGGCATCTCTCCTTCATTTGTCACCATTTCTATGGTGCACTGCTTGGGGGTCTTTGCACCACGTGGGAATCGATTCAGGTCCAGCTCAATTGCACCTGGGAAGTCAAAGTTTGTTGGGTCAAAAAATTAATCAATTACATCTGTTGAATTGTGATCCAAAGGTTTCCATGTAACTGAGTGTGTTTGATCAAATTAATTCAGTGTTGCTCTACTGTACCCAGGAAATCATCAGCTGAGAAGTGATCAGCATCCCACACTTGTAGATTAAGTCGAGGGGGGATCTTGTACTCTGTTTCATCCCAGGCAAACATAGACTCTTTCTTTGAGATGACGATCTTCTCCTCTGCCATGAGGTAGTCAAAGGGATAGATGAAACGCCAGTTGAAGTTGCCCTCTCCGGTGATGGAGTGGTAGTGGACGTCAGTGTCCTGTTTGTCCTCCTGCTGTCCTTTCAGCCAACTGTTTGCAGGAAACAATAAGTGAACACAACCTCAGTTCCAATGAAGTTGGGACATTGTGTTAAACAAATAGAAACAGAATACGATGGTTTGCAAATCCTTTTCAACTTGTTTTGAATTGAATACACTACAAGACAAGCTATTTGATAATTGATAAATTTAATTAATAGACATAAAACTAATTGATAAACTTTTTATTTATTTTGTTTATTTGTTTGTTTGTTTGCTTGCTTGCAAGTATTCACTCATTTTGAATTTAATGCCTGCAACATGTTCCAGAAATGCCAAGTCAGGGGCATGCTGTGTTACATCACTGAGGACACTACTTGCTGAAGCTTTGTAGGTGGAATTCTTTCCCATTCTTGCTTGATGTCCAGCGTCAGTTGCTCAACAGTCCAGGGTCTTCATTGTTGTATTTTGTTCTTCATGTTACAACATACATTTTCAGTGGAAAACAGGTCTGGACTGCAGGCAAGCCAGTCTAGTACCCACAMTATTTTACTATGAAGCCATGCTGTTATAACAGGTGCAGAATTTGGCTTGGCATTGTGTTGCTGAAATGAGCAGGGTGTCCTTGAAAAAGGCGTGTCTTGGATGGCAGTGTAGGCTGTTACAAAACCTGTATATACCTTTCAACATTAATGAAGCCTTCACAGATGTGCAAGTTACCCATGCTATGGACACTAACACACCCCCATACCATCAGAGAGACTGGCTTTGAAACTTTGCACTGATAATGTGAATTGTTGGTTTTCGTTGTTTAAATAAAACTATTTTCATGCTGTAATTTTTTTCTGAAAGGAAAAAATTGGATAAAAATAACAACATGCTCCAAACATCGAAAACTCACACTTACCCTCGCACAAATATGTCACTTGACTTCTCACCCGTGAATATGTCATCGTCCTCTAAAACAACCTCATCAGTGTTCCAAATGATGACCCTCAACTCAAACCTGCACAGATGAAATTACATTTTGTACATCTACTTTATTATCTGTGGTAACATTTTTTTTTTTACTTTTAGATTTGCATTGATTTTAAGTCAATATAAAAACTTTCATCCATACTTCTTTGGTTTTCTTGGTGAAATGTCGAGTGCGGGACCAGGGGCAGTCATGTCCTTGGGGAACATRTCCACCCACATCTCAATTCTTCCCTAAACACAGTTATAATAAATAAAACATTGACTTTCAGAATGCAAGCAAAAAATTAAAATGCCGTGGGTACCTAATAGCTGCTGAACTGTTATATTTAAAAATAACTAGAACCAAAACTAGCAAAACATTAGTCAGAATGATCAAAAATACAGCTGAAAGTTAAAACAGCAAACAAAACTAAAACTAGAAAAACAATAAGTAATACTACAATTAGACAAAATGCAGATAAAAGATACAATTAGCCAAACAGTTGAAAAATGGCAGTTAAACATTGAATTTAGCAAAGTTGTAGCTTAAAACAGAAGCTAACAGCAATAATGAGGAAAACCACGTCTTACCAAAGCTAAGATGAGCAGAACAGTAAATAATACTAAAACTAGCAAAACCTTGGTTAAAATTTTAAAATGCTAAAAGTAGCAAAACAGTAGCTAAAGGTTTAAAGTAACAAAATGGCAATTAAACATGGCATGTAAGTGACAAAAAATAGTCAGTATGCTGAAGCAGACTGAAGGAACTGAAAAATCTCAATGTACAGATACTCACTCCACAACCCTAAAAGAAAAAGCAGTTAAACAAAGCTGATGGTTGGCACAGAATAACATTAACTTACTTGTTCAATTCCTGGTTTGTCAGGGTGAAGCAGTGGTCTAGTCTCCACATGCTCTGGGACAAGTTTGCAGCCAGCTTTTGGGATACCCTCCCAGTGCCTCAGCACAGTCAGGGCAAGGTGTTCATCAGTCTGCTTTTTCAGACCTGACAAACATGGGTTAACATTATGTTATTTCTGTTTAGGGGCATGTTTAATAGCAATTAAATAAAAAAAAAAGCAGGCCTGACTTCCTGAGACAAATGCAACAGTACTAAGGCATTTTGAGTACGGTAATAGGAAAAAAATAAAAAGAAATAAGATTAAAAATACCATTTTCATCCTCTATCTCAGTTGGAGCCATGAAGACACGGTTCTCCACCTTCACTCTTCCTCCTGGGCCATAGTGTGGTCCATCCAGTTTGCCATCTTTACACAACTTAGCCAAGATATGAGTCGGTTTCATTGGGTCCCTCCACACATTGTAGCCATGGCTACATAGTGAACAGAAAGTACCAGTTATTTGAAAAGTCTAATGTTAAATAAAATCATAAGGAATAGAAAGAAAGAAAGAAAGAAAGAAAGAAAGAAAGAAAGAAAGAAAGAAAGAAAGAAAGAAAGAAAGAAAGAAAG